TACAATATAATATATAATATTATATATATAGGTAATTAAAGGGCCGGGCCTATATCGAGTTTGAGCCTAATAAGGCCCAAGATCGCTCACATTTAATTCGGGCCTAATTTAGGCTCAAACTCAACCTCGACTCACTAAATGATCGGGCTCATCGGGCTTTTATCGGGCCGAACTCGGGCTGGCCCAGCCCCATTGGCAGTCCTATTGGTAATGCCATTCCAATTCCAATTTAAGATCTCTCATACATACGAAAACCTCCTCTCACACTCTATATATATAATATATATATATATATATATATATATATATATATATATAGGGTTAATTACATTTACCCCCGAGATTTGACAAATAACGAATCGATCCCTGAGATTTGACCAAATAACAGATTCCCCCCTCACACTAACTTCTGTCACTTATAAGTAACGGAAATAGCCAAAAGTCTGAATAACCTTATTAATTTCCATCAAACTTTTAAGACATAAAATAGAAAATATGTACTTACAATTTTAGCCCTTTAGGCAGGAAACAAGACAGATAGCGACTTTATCATTTCAACCCCTACAATCCCAACATCAGATTATCATACTGCACTCTCACTTTTCTTGAACTCTCTTTCCATGAAACCCTATGTTTCTATCGTTGCTTAATCCTTAAATCACTAAGATAAAACTCAAAACTACAGTGCGTTGTCTACATATCAACATATTGTGGCTGGAGAAATTTTTCACAACAAGGTTGTAGGTTCGGAAAGCTATTGGAGGCCTAAGCATGGTACTATCTTTAACTGATCATTTCTTGCATGGGTATTATATACTATTTGAACCAAAAAAATGAGTTCTGCATGCACGGATCTAATATTTATTTACATTAGATCCTTCTTAGTTTGATTTCTAGGACACAAATATGCTTCAAATTAGGGGTTTTTGATTGTGATGCATCAATACAACATTGCCAGCATTTTTTGTTGCTACTGCATGTATAATAGTTATATGGGTGGTGAACGTAGTCATAAAAACAAGAAATCCAGATTTAATAATGTAAATCTGGAGTTTTTGTGAATTTTTTTAATATATCACTTTTTTCTACATTGGCAACATACATATGTAATTTTAGTTGTTTGAACCACAATAAGGTTGTATTAGTCGTTTATCAAAATAGTTTACAATTTAGAGTTTAATAGGAAATCTTTATTTATTTCCTGTTATGTCAGATTCCACGTTGATTCATATCTTCAAACTTAGTTGCATGCAAATCGGTTTTTTCTCATCATATTAATGCTATTTGTTAATGAAGCACATGATAAACTTTGTTGTTTTCGTGTTTTAGGCTGGACTTGCAAGTGTCTACGACATTACTCTTCATTGTGAAAGCATGAAGTTCGAACTAAGGAATATTGATCCCGATCGCTATTCTTACATTGACTTGTTATCTGATGTTGTTGTGAGAATGTTTTGAATCGTATTTCTAGTCGACAAAATATCATGATTGCTTTATGTTGTGATATCCCTGGTACTTGGAAACAATGAACATTGAAACTGATTCGGATGTGCTGGAAATGTTGGTTTACATAGGAGGAGAATGGACGTATCAATGTTTATGTTAGGCCAGGTTTGTGATGATGTTCAAGAGAACTTGAATGAAAATGCTGGTAATGGGAACAATATTGATGGAAATGGAATATTATGGGGCTGAATTTAATAATATTAGTGCCAATGTTAATAATGATAATGAAAACAACACGGGAAAATGGTAACAATGTTGATATTGCTATGAACTTTGAAGTGGTGGGTGTTAACTTCCATGGGGCAGACAGTAGCAATACCAAAAGGGCTGGTAAGAAGAATTCAAAAGGTTGGGCAGAAGGAAATGCTAGACAAAATACTATAACTAGCAAAAGGTTGGGTAAAAAAAGGAATTCGAAAATGTTTTGAATGGTGTTGATGCAGGGATCCAGGATGAAGTGGAAACTGATGATGAGCTATATGTTTATAGTGACAATGATGAGATGAGTGTTGACTTAGATGATGAACTATTTAGTACATTTGTACAAGAGGGATTGGAAAATGAGTTAGATTCTGTGAGAGACTTGTCTAATTATGAGTCCAATGATGAAGTTGAAGCTGAAAATGAGTCCGACAGTGACTTGGAGGATGATTTAATGGGTGCATGCCTAAATATTGCTGAGTTTTCCATGCCTGAGGGAGAGAAAATTTAGGCTCTTAAGGGAATGATATTTGCAAATGTTGATACTTTTAGAAGGGTGCTATATGAAATATAAAATTCAGTGGATTTTCCTCTAATTTTTGATAAAAATGAAAAGTCTAGAGTTACGGCGCATTGTGGCAATCAAAGGTTTGATTGGAGAGTACATGCTTCTCCAGCACCTGATAAGATGACATATGGTAAAAACATGCACACCTGATCATACTTGTGTCATGAGTGAAAAATTGTTGCTGTCTGCCAAGTGGATTGCAAGAAAATATATTGACCTATTGAGGGCAGATTCCACTGTTAAACCTGAGCTATTAAGGCATGAATTGGCTAAGTATGGTGTTTTTCCTACTGATATGCAGCTTTATAGAGCAAAGCAAAAGGCACAGGACATTATTGATGTAGCCATGGTGATAGCTATAGCTTGCTGCCAAAGTATTGTGTCATGATTATGAATACAAATCCTGGTAGTATAGCTAAGATTCAATTTGAAATGACTTTGGATCAGCTGTTCCTTCAGTTAAAAGAATGTTTGTGGGGTTAGATGCACTAAAGAAAGGATTTTTTGGTGGCTGCCTTCCTTTCATAGGATTTGATGATGTCACTTGAAAGGCGGCGTATGGAGGGGTTTTACTTTCTGCAATTGGTCTAGATGGAAATAATGGATTGTATCCTATTGCTTATGCCATTGTTGAGAGTGAGAATGAAGAAAGCTGGATGTTTTCTTTGAATGGTTAGCTGCAATGCTTGATGACTTTCCAAGGGATAGGCCTTGGACTTTCATGACTGATAGGCAAAAGGTAAGATCTTAACAACTCATTCAATTAATCAATCACTGATTTTGGGATTTTAACACATGTATTTTTTGACGTTTGTAGGGACTGATTGAAGCCATTAACTCTAAGGTACCATGGGCAGTGAACAGAAAGTGTTGCAGGCATATATATAGCAATTTTAGAGGCCGTTTTCCAGGAGTTATGCTTAGGCAATTATTTTGGCAAGCTTCCAGGGCTTACACTGAAGTAAACTTTAAGGAGGCTATGGCCAAAATTAAGGATTTAAAACCTGCAGCCCACGAGTGGCTGGAGAAAATTCCTTATCACCTGTGGTCTAGGCATGCTTTCCCCACAGATTTGAAGAATGATCACATCACAAACAACATTGCTGAATCTTTCAATCATTGGATAGGAGATCTAAGGGGTAAGAATGTGTTAACATTGCTGGACAATATTCGATCTAAGTTGATGAGTAGGCTGCTAAAAAGATTTGAAAAAGGCTGTCTTTATAAGAATAATGTGGTTTCAAATGTGAAAAACAGACTTAATGTACTTGCTAATGAATGTAGAAAGTGCACTATACTGCTTGCAAGTGGTAACGAATTCCAAGTGAAGGATTGTAATGTTTCTTACATTGTGAACATCAATGAGAGAACATGTGATTGCAAGGTATGGAACTTGTCTGGAATACCATGCAAGCATGCAACAGCTGTTCTTATTAACAAGAGAGCAGATTTGGAAAATTATTGTGATTTTAGCAAGACAAAAGAATTTTACATCAGAGCATACAATGAAGTCATTCATCCAATCCCAGATGTAAAGTTTTGGCCACCTATTGAAGTGAATCCATCAAAAGTACTACCACCAGTACTTAGAAGAAAAGCTGGCAGGCCAAGAAAGGCCCGGAGAAGGGAGCAAGGAGAAGCACCAGCTGTAGGCCAAGGAAAAAGATCATCCACGCTGAAGTGTAGTTTGTGTCAACAATTTGGGCACAATAAAAGAGCTTGTGAAGGTGGTCCAAAGAGGGATAGAAAAGGCAATTTCAAGAGAAGAAAGGTGGAGTGCACTATTCAAACTCTTACATTCTTACGTACCATGGACTGTAATCTTAAGCATTTTCTAACCTTGTTTTCATTCTTACTGAAGTTACTTGGTCAGACCAGTGGAATGGAACCTCGTGTATCTACTGGAACTAGCAGACCAACATCTACTTATTGTCCCACACAAGAATCAGTTACTCTACCTGCTGGAAGTACACAACCTCCCATTGAAGTCTCTCAGGTGACTTCTAATGTCATGTACTCAAATTCTCATATTTGTAGATTTTGCTAACTATAAACATGCATGAAATTGTAGGGAGAAAGCAATACTAGACATGTTGCTTTATCTCAAACACCTGAAGAAATGTTTGGGAGTTCAAGAGCTTCAAATCTACTGGGCAAAAATCTTGCTGCTATGGTCATTGGAAGAAGATCAGTTGCTGGCAACAACAATGGAGGGTCAATATCAGGATCTATTCCTACTTCAGCACAACCAGGGCCTACATCAACATTGCCAGCAACTTCTGAAAAAAATTCTCAATCTAAATATGCAATGTTCTAGCCTTCAGGCTTTGTTTACATATGCTTTTTTTGACATGGTTGCAAATGAAGATAATTAGGATTCTCAGTCTATTGTGCTTGTACTTATTAGACTTTATGGCCATGTTATGGTCTTGTTGTTCTGTTGACGGTTCATAGCACATATGTGGTGCTGATACTGATAAAACTCTGTGACCAGTGTATGGTCTTTTTGTTCTTTTGATGATTCATAGCACAATGGAACTAAGTTTTGCTTGTTTCTCTGTTTGTTTTCACTAGCTCTTTTCAAGTGCTTGGTATGAGATATTTTAGATTTTATGCAAACTGTTGAGTGCAGCTGAGTGGTCACATATTGCATGATTTTCCAGCCAGGGTTATGCGGAAGAGACTCAGGTTATTTTGCTGAAATGGAGTATGGTACGCCTAATTGTGTTCTTGATATAGGCACACAGTACGCCTCTTCAGGATCCTGAGTTGCGGCTTGATGAAAAGAAGCTGATTCTCAGCAATAGCGTATGCAAGGAGCCTGTTAAATCTATACCTTGGAGATTAATTTTGTCAAAATCTCCTGTGTGGGCCCTTATAATTTCTCACTTCTGTCACAATTGGGGAACATTTATTCTTCTAACATGGATGCCTACATATTATCACCAGGTGCAGCCTCATTCATTTGTGGCCTCCTCAACTATAGCTTCTAGAGCTTTAAGGACTTCTTCTAAGTTTACCATGATATAGTTCTCTACGAGTTTGATTTCTCACCTGACCTCTAGATTTGTAAGCTTAAGCTTTTGATGGTTAGTATAATATGACATTTTCTCTAAACAAGAAAAAACTGAAAGGATAGTAAATTGGCAGCTCTGCATTCTAGACGATTTGCTTGTTAAATCCTGAAATTAGTAAAAGTTTATGCAGTTCTACCTTCAACCATTGGTTCCTTTACACTTCCTTTCCCTTGTCTATTCAATTCTTCTTCTTCTTCTTCTTCTTTTTAATTATTTTCATACTCCTTGTTTGTACTATTTTTTGAACTATGAAAACATGCATAGCCTAACATGTTAAAAGTATAATGATATCTTCACGCGTCACTTGGAAATGATGCTGATGCTCCTAGTATCGGTTTCTTTTGTCATTGTTTTCTTGAAATAATTTTGGATTTCATATTACTGCTCACAGTAAGTCTAGAATTCTCTTCTAGATAATGAAGTCACGATACTCACCAATTTTCATGTTAATAACAGCTTAATAAACCATATGATCGTACTGACTGGAAATGATATTGTTTTCTTAATTCTGTTACAGGTGTTGAAGTTTAATCTTACTGAATCTGGAATGTGTTCGGTCTTGCCTTGGCTTACCATGGCCTTCTCGGCAAACGTTGGTGGGTGGATTGCTGATTCTTTGGTGAGCAAAGGTGTATCTGTCACCATTGTTAGAAAGGTGAAGTATTATGCATGTAGTTGAACTGACTAATGTTTATGGTTAACTCATTGTGATTTATTACGTTGGTTTTGGCATACTTTGTGCTGGTGATGACGAATTGTAAATTGTCAACACAATCACATAGTGTGCAAAGTCTAAATTGTGAAGATATGTACATGCTGGACCACTTATTTTAGCTACATCCACTGAGGCTGGTTATGATAGGTCCAATCTTTTTCAAAGTTGCTTTGGCCTTCCTGTGGCATTTGCACTTGAGTGCAGCTAGATTAGTCTCTTTTAGTTGTAAGTTCAGTGGCTGAACTAATTTAATGTTTTGAGATCTTCGTGCAGATAATGCAGACGATTGGATTTCTTGGCCCTGCATTTTTCCTGACTCAGTTAAACCATGTTGATTCTCCTGCAATGGCAGTTTTGTGTATGGCCTGCAGTCAGGTCTGTGAATACCATACAATGAATCAAACATTAATTATTATCTATCTTTTTACATAGGAGGACTTGGGATTCGATCCTTCTTCCGAAACCAAGTTCGGTTTGAAGAATTTGTGGATTTCAGTCCTTAAGCTAATTGTCCAAATATGTTTTGGCAGTGGTAACAGCTGAGACAGGGCTTCTGGAAAAATTGACATTCTTGCAAACCAGAGGAGATGTATTGAGACGTTGCACCGAGTCAATAGTTGTGAACGGTTTAGGACTTGGATTGGCCCTTCTGAGTGGTATTGTAATATTAACAGCAGTTTTACCAAAGCATGAAGCTCCACACTTTAAGATGATGTACACAAACAACAAATGCTTGTCTTCTCAGTAACAATTATCCAAGTTTTTGTTATGAATAATTATTTTAATTGTTTGCATGAAATGAAGTAGACTATAAACAACTCGAAACAACCAAACGTTATACCACTGAAATAACACTAGAGGTTCCATTTCATCCAAGAACATTTACAACAAATCTTTGTAGCATTTTAAACTAGACACAAAAGACATTTCCATCAGCTAACACATATGAGCCGTGAAAATCTAGAAAGCCAGTGCCACTTTTTTCAACTTCTTAACATGTTTATAAGTTGGGCAAACAAGTATGCAGCCAACAAGACAAGATTTATTGCTACCAATATCTTAATATGCCCAAGCCAGCTCCAAATAGAACAGAGCACCGTATTTGCATCATTTCTTTGGATCATATGACTTGCTGCACCAACGTCTCCATCTACATTTCTCCTCAGCCATGGATTATAGTTTACTTCAGTAAATTCAGATCTTGCACCTTGCATAAATCTTGGGTTATAGTTCACCTCATTCTCTACAACATAATTTGGCAAAACCCACTTCAACCATCCATGCACACTACAATTATAATAAAGCCTTCGGGGGTTCTTTTGTGTTCGAGATACCATAATTGAAGCTATTTGACCACAACCACATCTTATGCTCTCAAAGCTCAAATTTTCAATATTTGAGCTATTGCTTGATAAAGCCATTCCTACAAAATAAAAGTCATATTATAAAAGTAAAAACATTAACAGCAACCAAACTCAATTAGAGTAGGCATTAAAGTGACAAAAAATATAATTCCTGCAAAATGTAATTAACCCTCATAAGATTTACTAAAAGCTAATCAATTAGGCTTATTGCTAACAACTACAAAAATATTACTCGTTGTTTTTACTTTGCAAATTATTTTTAAATTAAACTCTTCAATTTCATCTTATTAACAGACCATAAATCGTATAATTTTATAAACCCCAAACCTTGAGATATCCTAAATGTGGCCACGGAATAACAAAATACCAACAAAAGCAAATAAATTACACATAAATGAAAATTAATCTAAGAATGATAATGTCATAATTAAAGAACCCTTAAATTCCGTCTTAATTAGAGGCAACTCCATAAATTCTTAAATCCCAAACCCTAAACAATAACTCTTTCAATATTAACTCATCTTAACTCACCATTACATTATGATTCGGAACCAGCACATGCTTACCTGATGTAGCGGCAAGTTGATTTTTACGTAAGTAGCTTGATTCTCTCCAAGTTTTGTTGCTGTTGTTCTCTTGAAGTTTTTGCTCGTTAAACTTGGGGAAAATGGGCCCTCTTTTTGTCCAGATAAAGGTAGGCAATGGGGATGTGTTTTTCTTCTCAAGTCAAACGTGATTGGGATGTAAATTATATATTTTTAATGAAAAGGGTATTTTCGGAACTATAATTAATCTTCATTACAGCTGGATACAATAAATGGCAATTTCGTCATTCCAAGTTTTCTTTTTCCTGATGTCAAGTACAATGACTAACGTCTCTTAACAGTAGGGGGGTGATTGTTAAATGTCTGGTTATTCAAAGGGGTGGACTGTTATTTGGTCAAATCTCAGGGATCGATTCGTTATTTGGTCAAACCTCAAGGGAGGTAAATGTAATTAACCCATATATATATTTGAATTCTCGCAAATCAGTGGCCCTCCATTTGAATTTCCGTTGCAGTTATGATAAAAATCATCATGCATGCATGCCTGTCAAGTGTCATGTTGGTGATGTCCAATCCATTATCCAGCCAAGCCATACATAGGAGCATTTTGTTATAAGTAGTAGTAGTAGTATTTGCCTGCCATTTGGCACCAGTTCTCTCTTTTTTTTTTTTTTTGGTTTATCAATCAATCAAAATTCAAAAGAAGCAAAGGGTTGGTGTCCGTACGATCCAATTAGCTACTGAACTCTCGGCTTTTGTTTTCTTGTGGGTATAAATTCTGAGCCTCAGATGGATGAGTTGTGCATTGATTGATCTCAACAAACCCCCCAAAGACTAACAACAACACGTTTGGATTGGAGGTTTAAATTCGTGGGGTACGTTGCATTGCATATTTGCATTGCATTGCATTGATTGGGCAGTTTCTTTTGGTGGATTAAGGACATAATAATAATGTTGGATTCAGCAAATGCATGTGAATTGTGATCCACAATTACAAAAAAGTTGGTTGCTTGCACCTTCTTTGCATGAAAATCCACCGAAAATGGTCATAACTAACTATATCACACACACACACACACACACACATATATTCACCCATCAATTACTCGATTCAAAATTTTTTCTCTCTCTCCTGAAAGTCGTAGTGATTTGTCCCGCAATAATTTGTCTCTAAACCATTTAATAAATCGCAATTTATCTTAGTACCAGTAGTCTTTTTTGAAGCAAAAGTCTTGCGTGGCCACTGACAGTAAGAATTACTAATTTGATTACTCGCGTGGCCCCCAAAAGCAATGATTTTTTCCTTTCTCCGTTTTACTAGTTTGATGAACGCTGTACTGGATGACTGACTGTTAGTAGTGGCATTTGCTACTTCTGGACACATTTTTTATTTCTCATAAAAAAAAAAAGCTTGCACCCGCTGGTTTGCCCGAGAGGTTAAGGGGGAAGACTTAAGATCTTCTGCACATAAGTGCGCATGGGTTCGAACCCCATAGCCAGCAAATTCATTTTTGATTTATATTTCAGCCCTCAATTTCCAAAATAGCAAAATTCTCCAAAATCATTTTTTGACGTATCTCTCAACCTTCAATTTCCAACATGGAATTCTCATGCAAACTCAAATAGGGAACCCTCTGTCTAGGCCATAATTTTACAACATTTTGGAAAAACACTCTTCTTCAGGAAGTTGCATCTTCTTCGACTTAAATTCATATAGTGATGGATGGGTTCAGGGTTGTCTACTGGACACTTGTTAGAGAAATCATATGATGATCATTCCATCAATCATATTGAATAATAATGCAAGAAGCTAAAGTAATTAGGATTTACTCTCAAACCCCCTTACACGAAAAAAGGGGAAAAATATAGGTTTGTTTCCAACATTATGCTTCCTCATTATTCTAATAGAGGAGGCCAAATTGCAAAAGTACCCAATCCCATAGAACCTTTTTTTTTTTTTGGTCGAATGGGAGGGTTTAAAGTCAAAATCTCCTATAATCCCTTGCTCTTTACCATCCAACCCAACTCTTTTCCTGAAACTCGGTTATAATATTGCTATCCAAACACAGGCAAAAATAATTTTTTTTTTCCATGTTAAACTAGTAAGACCAACTTTTGTTATGCTGCTTACGAATCATCGCAATTCTGAAGGTATTTAACTTGCATTGACAGAAACCAATTGTCACCCAAAATTTCCACAGAATGGCCGGCCCGTGTCATATTAGCCATTGCCTTTCCATGAATTGCAGCCCATCTCTCTTCCGAGTGGGCCTAATAGACGGTGTGTGCGTGCGTGGAGCCCAACTCTGTCGCCAGATCCAATCCTCCTCGAGCCCTCTTTCTTTAAAAAAACGAGTCCGCTTCGATTTAAGAATCCGGGTCCCCATTTTATTCGTACCATTCTAATGCTTTAAATTAGCGCTGGAGTTTTGAGCAAAAAACTTGAATATATTCGCAGTTGCACGGTGAATTGCCAAATTTTTATCCGCAATTATCTGCTCTCTGCAACAAAGAGGTAAGGAAAACGTAAATCTTGCTCTCCCTACTGTCATTGATCGCAATTAACTTTACGATTGGGCTGATTTCTTTATCCAATTCATGAGAAATTTTTAGTTTAGGTAATTTCTGTACTTTTAGCCGAATAAAGATGGACAAAGAGAGAAATCAAAGTTTGTTTATCTTGATTTTCTGTTTGATTGCTCAAAAAGAAATTTTTTTGGTCGAAGGTGACAATGATGAAGATTGACTTCAGTGGACTTGAGCCGAATTCTTTGTTGAGGGGAAACCCTAATGAATTGCTGAGCGGGCTTTCGACTGCCCCAGAATTTCAGATTCCTAATACTAATGATGTAAGCCTTTTTAATAAGTATCTTTTGCTCTTTTGTTGTTGGGTTTTTCTTATTTTTAATTTAACAAAATCTGGTTGGATGTTGTGTCTAGTTTGATGGGTTTCAGAAAGAATCGGTTCAAATGGTTAAGCCAGCAAAGGAACGACGACTTTGGCTTTCATTTTCAAAGAAGGTGTTATAGTAGCTGCTGACTCGCGTGCTAGCATGGGCGGTTATATATGTAAGTATCTGGATGTTTTGATTGAGCTGATGTTCTTGTGTTAAATGAGGTTGTAGTATATATTTGTGGTTGAATTCTATTATCCTTAGAGGGTGATTTTGAAAATTTACTGATACTGGTTGGTGCTGATCGCTATATTGTGATTGGTGATTGTATGCAACAATATTGGCTGTTTAATAGTTCGACATGTTCGTTTTAGAGTTCTGTTAAGAAAATACGTTAGGATGTTTTATTGTTTGCTGTTAATAGTTTTGAGGTTGAGGCTTTTTTTTTTGGCTTCATAACGGCTTTATCTAGGCTGTAGCAAAGCATGGAAAATGTTTGAGTTTGAAATCTGTAATTTTCCTCGGATCTATGACTCCCGAGACTTATGTCATTAGCTATCTGAATGCCTTAAAAAGCAATATTTTGTCGTAACAGTACCATCTTATGATATTGGTTTTTAGGACAAATC